TAAAAGTTTGTTTTTAGAGATCCGGTTTCTTGCAAATGACGAACAACTTCCCAACCAAACAGAGCTGTCAATTTGAGCGACATTATTTACACATATCTACGTCATTTTGACGTCACTGAGGCGTTTATTCGATAGAGGGCGCGCCTTCGTATTGTATATCACAACTTGGAACGCTTCGATGCAAGTATTATAGTACGAATACAGTGTGTACGAATGTGTAAGTAGAGGGTTAATTTGTTTTAACCTCTACATAGTGGTGACATGGTTACAAACTAACAATCCAACTGAGTATATTCACAGTGTAGACTCACCTAATTAGTTTGTTGCAAGATAGTAGGTACACCCTTTATTCCAAGCTTTGAGAATCTCTTATTTAAAATAACAAACATAGTGTATATAGACTATAGTCTGGTATTTTCGAAGATAAATAAGAACATTCCGCTATTTGTTTTGGAGAAAAATATTACAAGTATGACTAAATCCGGTAAACACATCTAGCTAGGATCATGATTATGAATTATTGAAGGGTTGGCGTATTATATTCAACGGCTCCACCATGTGTTACTTTCATGGTTTACTTTTATTAATTTCGCTAACAATTTGTTATTAGATTTCTCAGATCATAACCATTAAAAGCAATATATAAAAATGCGTGTACCATCTGTGCGCATTGTGACTTTGAGCGCATTGCGAAGATATATTTGTAGTAGAAATAATATTAACTTATTATTATAAATGGTCACATTTCATTAACATTCAGAGAGTTGACGATCGATAGCTAGGGTCGCAATAGAATGTTTATAAACATATTTGAATTGAATTGAAAGTGTTCCGACATTGTTTCTGCTCTGGAACCTATAGTGAAATTAAAACAAAAATCACATGATAACCATGTATAGCCTTGAAAGGCCAACCCTGTTGATATCAACCACTATAGTGGTACATGCACGGAACATACCTAGGTAACATCACGATCTTTATGGCGGTTACCAGGAGATTCCAGAATGTCGAATGTCATTAAAAGTTTAAGACGCGATCTAATGATAACGTAGACTGATTTGATTGGAAGAGATAACGAGCGGTTGATGAGAGTGTATATCGTATCCCTGTAATTAGAGTAATAAAACCCAAATTTATTTGCACACAAACACTCGAATCAGATCATGAAATGGATTTGAATCCGTTCTGTGCTTGCTGTTTATCGTTCACACTGTCAACAAGATATCGTATAATAGTCAACACTGATCGTCAAACACAGCCTAGCACCGTGTACAACATATTGCCAACCTTGCTGTTCGGCAAAGTGGACGCTGAAAGCACTAACGCGTGAAAAGAATAACAATGAATACTAAATAAAAGATGAAATTCCAACGACTGTGTTTCTTTCTAACCACGGGATACTTTCAAGTTTTGACACGCAAAGTGCAACAAGGCGAGACTAATGATATCGATGTTCGGCTCTGGTGAGGCCAAGGCGAACTTTATGTGTCGTTCTCAAACTGTCCGACTTCAATGAAATCAAACATTGTGTAAATATTGTTATTTTTACAGGCAAATACAAGCATAAAACCTGGCATAAATGCTGCAAGTTTTCACCTGTTTTGACCGTCAATGTTACTCGGTATTAATTGAGACACATCTACCAGCTGTATAGTGTTGGAGAATAATGTTCCCTGCGTGGATAGCTATTCTCTACGGGTGGGAGCAGCATGTCATTGTTTGCATTGGTTTGCCTAGCACTCATTATGTTGGCAAAATATACCTGGAAATTAAAGTCTTTACAAAACAATCCCTCGATATATGTTTTAAAGAAACAACTCCCCCTTGTGAACTGAATCGTGTTTTTTTTCTAATCAACATACTTTGCCAATTGGAACCCTAAGTGGTCAGAATGAGGGTCTTCCAGACAAAAGCACGCGATACACCTGTCAGGTAGTTCCTAACACTGGTCCACAGAAGAAACTAATTAAAATGTCATTTAACCCTCTAATCATTATTAACAACTCCTTTTAGTATACATTTCGCTTAAAGGTTACTGAGGATACAGCGCCCTCACTCAAATTTTGGAACCGGTGTCCAATAATTATGAGTAACCAACATATGTAATATGTCTTCTTTTAAACAGTTTGACGGAAAATACCGTAACACAATACATTTTATAAGTGAAAATCAGATAAGTAGTATTCACTATTTTAGAAATTTAAACATCAAAACGAAAGTCTTGCTTAAGTTAGTGTTTTTACTATCAAACCTTACTATGAAGGCCATG